ATCGAATTATCTTATTTAAATTAGCGCTATTAAAACCGTTAGCTCTAAAGATATTAAACGAAAACTCTCTATAAAGTATTACGACTATTTAAATATTTTCGATAGAATAAAGACAAATAAACTATTATTATATCGCTTTTATAATTATAAACTAAAATTTATAGAGATCGATACTACTAAATTATTAAAGAGTTAAGTCTATTTTATATTAGAAGATAAGTTAAAATAGATTAAGAAGTATTTAAATAAGTATTTAAAAAAGGATTTTATAACACCTAGTTATGCTTCGTTCATATTCTTTATTCTATTTATCGAGAAATTAAATAAGAGTCTACGCTTTTATATAAATTATCGAAGGCTAAATACTATTATTAAGAGAAATCGATATTTAATTTCATTAATAGACGAGGTTCTCGCAAGAATTTAGAGCTATAAATATCTTACTCGATTAGATATTATAGCCGTATTTAATAAATTATATATATACTCCGATAGTAAGAATTTTACTACGTTCGTTATCTCTCTCGATATATATAAATATTAAGTACTTCTCTTCGATTTAACTAATAGCTTAATCATCTATTAATAGTATATAAATAATATTCTATTTAAGTATTTAAACGATTTCTATTAAGTCTATCTCGATAATATTCTTATTTATAATCGATCGAGAAAGAAATATATTACGTATATTCGAAAGATTTTTTAAAAATTATAAAAGATCGAATTATAGGTAGATATTCTTAAATATAAATTTTATATCTAGAAGATAAAATTTTTAGATCTTCTTATTTCGATTAATAACTTATAAATAAATTCTATTAAAATTTAAGCTATTATTAAATAATTTAGTTCTATTAATTTAAAGAAGATATAGATCTTTATTAGCTTTTATAACTTCTATCGTTAATTTATAAAAGACTTCTCGAAAATTATAAAATTAATAATGAAACTTATAGTTAAGAAAGTAATATTTAATTAATCACTAATTTATTAAAAAGTCTTTTATTTACTAAAGATAGCTATTATAAAAGCTTCGATTTTATACTATTTCGATAGATCGAAGAATATTATACTCGAAATAAACTTCTCTAACTACGTTAATAATAATATTTTATTCTAATATAATAACGATAAAGTCTTATATCTAATAGCTTTCTATAGTAAAAATCTTATCTTAGCTAAGTATAATTATTAGATTTATAATAAGAAGTTATTAATTATTATTCGCTATCTAGAATATTAGCGTTCTAAATTAAAATATATTAATATTTTTATTAAGATCTTTATAGACTATAAAAGCTTAATATACTTTATTAAAGAAAGAGATCTAAGCCGTCGTTAGGCTCGCTATTTAAATATACTATTTAAATTTAATATTAAAATCATCTATCGTCTAAAGTCTTAGAATGTTAAGGTTAATATACTTATATATATAGTCGATTCTAAATTAAATAGCTTAGAGGATAAATATTTAAAGTAGTAATATTAGATAATACTTATATCTAATCGTTTAGAACTTAATAATAAAAACGTTAAGATTTATATTATTAACGACTTTATCTTCTATAGAATAGTCTAAGAAAATAAAGCTAATAAGTTCTATAACGAAATTTATAAGATAATTATAAAGGGTAAGAATAAACTTCGCGAAATTATATTTAATAAGTGCTCTATAGAGAATAAGATACTCTATTATAAGAATCGCTTATAAATATTAGAAGATCTATATATCGATATTATTCGCGAAGTATATAATTAACTCTTATATAAATATCTCGATATAGTTCGTATCTATAAGCTATTTAAGCGAGAATACTATTAACGAGATATAAGAGCTATCGTTATTATCTATATTTAAAACTATTATATTTACTATAAATCTAAAATTTCTTATAATCGAGAATATAATCTATTATAATCTCTATTAATTTCTTAAAAGTAATAATAGAATATCTCGATAGACTTCGTAATAGATCTATCTATATTCGATAGATATAACGCTATCTAGATAGCGATAGATCGATTTATTAAGAAATAATATTATATCTCGTATTTTAATATAGATAAAAAAATTATAATTAAAAAGATAATTAATATATTACTTAAGAAGATCTTTTACTTACGAAGATTATTATCGAAAGTTTTAAACATATACTAAAATTCTTAATATTCTTAGCATTTCTAGTATTTTAGTAAATTTCTTAAATAGCTTTATAATCTATATACGATATTTTATATAATTACGTATATACTAACTTACTCGATTAACTAAATTATAGAATTACTTATCTTCTTCTTTACGACTCTTTCGATATTTATTATTATCTCGTAAACGAATAACTTCGATAATATATCTAGATATACGCTACTATCGTTATTATATATATAATAATATCGTAATTATATACCTCGTATATATATAGTAATATCGCTACTATATACTTTATATATATATACTTTATATATAATATTAATATCGCTACTATATAAAGTATTAATATTTAAGATATTTAAGATATTTATTAAAAATATTAAGAGTTTTAAAGCTCTAACTCTAATATTTAAAACTTTCGATAGTAATCTTCGTATATAATCTATCGATATCGATAATTTCGAATAAAGGCTTTTAATTTATATCGATAATATAAAAAGTCTTTTATAAATAACTCGAGATTAAGACTAAGCTATTAATAGTCTTTTATTTTAAAATTAACGAATAGACTAAACGGGCTAACTAGAATATAAAATATTATCTTCGAATATATTATAATTATATATAGAATAATTAATCTAGATAATTATCTATTATCGAGTTTATTAATAATAATACTACTTTCGTAATTACGAGTATCTTATTATTCTTTATAAATAAGAGCTTTTACTCTTAAATGAGTTTTAATTTAAATATTATCGATTATAATATTACTTATAAGCGTCTTAACGCTATTTAAATAGAAGATATTATTAAATATATATAGTAGATTCTTAACTATATTCGAAATAATATAGATCGCGTTTAAAAGACTATAATAATCTAAATTAATAAGTAATATTAAAAGATTACTTTAAGATAAGCGATATAATCTTTCTTAGTAGTAAGAATATTATCTTAAATTAATTATCTTAAAAGCTAAATAATAAGAGATATAGCTTATTTAGAGTAATAGATCTTATAGAAATCTTATATCGCTTAAAGCTTTTAATAAGTATAAAGATTTATAATATCTTTTACTTTAATCTCTTAACTCTTATATTAATAAACTCTCTATCTAGATAGATTAATTCTCTATTAAAGTATATTACTATTAATAGCTAAATCGAATAAATAGTAGAGAAAATTCTCGCCTCTAAATTTATTAATAACTATTTTAAATATAGAGTAAAATAAAAGAATTTTAATAAGAACCTTAAATAGTATAACTCGAACGATAGTGAATTTGAAAATTATTAAGATATAATTAATAATTTCTATAAACGATATTCGTAAGTAGCTTACTAGCGTTAAACGTCTCGAATATTACATTTTTAAACGAATTAAAATCGTTCGATATTTTATAACGACTTTATTTTTTATAATTTATAAGATAATTTCTTAGATCTAAATCGCTTTATAATAATCTTATATTAGATTTATTAAGTCGACTTTCTTATCTAGTATAACCCTTAACGTATCTTAAAGCTATATTAGATTATACGCGAATCTTACTATTATCGTCGCTAAGTATAATTAATATCGACTAAATAACTTATTATAAAGAGATCTACTTTATTATAATTTAATATTAAATTAAAATTTAGCGTCTATAATTTAATTCGATTCGAAATCCCTTAATTAATTAAGATTTAAGTCGTATTATTTTATAAATATTCTTTACGCTAGAATATCGACTCGAGAATTATTATTATTTACTAAAGTACTTATAATTATTACTCGTCTATCGCTCTACTAATTTCTTTTAAATTAGAATCTCTATACTCGCTATATCTCTAGCTAATAATAACGCTAACTTAAATACTAAGATAAAAGCTCTCGCTTTCTATACTATCGTCGAGAAATATTATAGTATTAAAGATCTCGAATATTAAAAGTTTTTTATTATTTTATCGATTTTTAAGCGAGCGTATATATATAGTATTTCTATTACTCTTCTACTTATTAATTATAAAGATATAATTCTATAAGAGAAGAGAAATAGTATTACGAGCGTATTTTATATCTCTCTTAATATATTATTTAATTCTATAATCTATTAGAGTCTAGTATATTTTAATAGAGATATTTACTACTATTTAATATCTTCTATTTATATAGTTATTCGATATCTAGTTATCTTATTTAATATATCTATATTAATATTATATCTATATCGATTCTAATATAATCGATCTAATTAAAAAGCGTATAGAACTCGAATTTATAATTAACTATATATATAAATTTAAGATTTTTAAGCTTAGCTCTATCTTATTAATATATATAAAAGAATAAGATAGAGCTAAACTAGAAAATCTTAAATTTATATATGCAGCCAATCATCAATTCGGGGTTATTACGCCTTTTGGCTAGATCGGCTAAGTTACCACGGGTAAATAAATTAGCGTCCGCAACCATCAAAATCTCGCCCTCCCGCGCCTCCCTCATCAAAAAAATAGGTGTACATTATTCACAATAGTAATAACTTTTTTATTTTCTATCAAAATTCTGAAATTTTTTACTTTAAATTTTGAAACGCTATTTGCGCTTTTTATTTTTTTTTTTTTTTTTTTTTTTTTTTTTTATTTTTTTTTTTTTAAAAATTTTTTTTTTTTTTTTTTTTATTTTTTAAAACACAAAAAATTTCCTCCCCATAATGTAAACTCCCGTTACATGATCACTCATCTGCCAGCTCGAGAATCATGCTCAATCACGTCTCCTTCAACGCCTCCACTCTCAAAACTCATCAACATCAATCTTCCCATCTAATCAAAGAAGCTTCCCAAGGACTCAGCATCTCCGAATGGCGTCAACTTTCCCAGACCTACCCATCTTCCGAGCGATCGCAAGCCATGATCCCAAAAGTACTGCTATAATACATTCAAGATCAGAAAGAAGATTCACATATGGCGAGCTACTCAAAGATGTTGAAGGCGCCAAGGTCACCCTGTACAACCAATTGAAGTCCGCGTCGGCCGAGGGCGAATCAAGAGGAGGTCAAAGGGTCGCTTTCCTAGTGGAAAATGGCTACGATTATGTAGGTGCGAGCAAAAGCTGCATCTATGCTCAGCTCAGTAGCTAAACCGAGACAGTGACCCTCCTTTCCATACTGGCATGCGACAGCATCGCCGTTCCACTTTCCTCAGGCTTCCCAGCGAGCGAGCTCAGGTACATACTGGAGAACAGCGAGGCGGTGACACTACTTTCATCCGGGAAGTTTCAAGAGAAGGCGGAAGAAGTCCTCAAGGAGGGCCTAGAGCACCTACCAAGAAAGCCAGTCCTCAATGTCGTCGAGAAGAGGCTTACTGGCAATGGGGAAGATGAGGTCCAGCTGGTGCCCTTACCCCTGACCAAAGGCGGCATGATGCTGTACACTTCAGGAACGACCAGTCGTCCGGTATATACGTTCATCATACACTCAAAGATTGCCGCTGACACATCCACAGAAAGGCGTCCTTCTTCCGGAAAAGGTCCTCACAGCCCAAGCCGAATCACTCCACAAAGCCTGGCAATACACCTCACGCGATCACCTTCTCCACGTCCTCCCCCTTCATCATATCCATGGCACCGTCAACGCCCTCCTCACACCCCTCTTTGCCGGCTCAACTATCGAATTCATGTTCCCTTTCAACGTCGATGCGGTCTGGGAGCGCCTAGCCGCGCCGTTCATGCCAGACAAGAACAAGAAACCCATCACGTTCCTGACAGTTGTCCCTACAATATACAATCGCTTCCTCTCCTCATTCGACAAGCTCGCCGTACCTTTGCAGGAAGCTGTTAAGAAGGCTTTATTGCCGGAGAATCTACGCCTCAACATCTCTGGATCCGCGGCACTACCAACGCCTACGAAGAAGTCGTGGACAGAGTTAAGCGGCGGCAACGTCTTGCTTGAGCGCTATGGCATGACTGAAGTTGGTATGGCTTTGAGCTGTGGTTTGGACTTCCGGGACCGAGTGGACGGCAGCGTTGGATGGCCGTTACCCTCCGTCCAAGTCCGACTAGTGGACAGCGAAACCAATGAGGTCGTCCCCCTCGGCCATGAAGTTGACGAGAACGGAAAAGGAACAGAAGGAGAGATACAACTCCGAGGTCCTACTGTCTTCGAAGAATACTGGCGCAACGAGAAGGCGACTTCGGAAGAGTTTGTGGCATCAGATGATGGTGGCGGCAAATGGTTCAAGACTGGCGACATTGCGACGAGGAAAATCGTGGATGGTGCGGGGCAAAGTGGACAGGACTGGGCGAAGGGCCCGATGTATTTCATACGAGGGAGGAAGAGCACGGATATTATTAAGAGTGGTGGAGAGAAGGTCAGCGCTTTGGAGATTGAGAGGGAGCTTTTGTCATTGTGAGTCGCAATCAAACTTACCATGCCTCACTTCATCTTAGGCTGATGATCCTCCAGACCTCAGATCTCCGAGGCTGCCGTTGTTGGCGTCGCCTCAGAACAATGGGGCCAGAAAGTAGCAGCAGTTGTCGTCCTCGAGCCAGCACACGCCCAGACTGGGAAAGGAGGCAAGACTTGGGGTGTCATGGACATGCGAAGAGCGCTGAAGGACAAGCTGGCTAATTACAAGATACCACAGGAGTTAAAGGCGGTAGAAGAGTTGCCTAAAAATGCCATGGGCAAGAGTATGTACTCTCATCCCCTTTGCTCGTTCACGCTAATAATTCTCAAGTCAATAAGAAAAGCCTGGTCAAAGAGATATTTGGAGATCAAGCTTGATGCAGCAGCTTTTCGGAGGGGTAATTGGTTCGCTTCTTGTACAGTTCGAATCTTAACGCTATCCTTTCATCGCCAATCTGCCAAGACATATTGAGTCGCATTGGCTACGGATTAGTGACCGAGGAGTAGCATGTTGCCCCATCTCTTTTCGCATATCCTCCACCCATGCGAAAGATGTCTCGCATGACAGCTACCCTTATCAGCTACCCTCCTCAAATCTCAAACCTCTGCCCACAAATTCCTGACTCAGCTCCCCTAGATATCCCGCCATCACCAGATCACGCACATACTCATTGACAGGCTCCTCGGGAATCTGACAATCCCTGAGGAAAGCGCCCGAACCACCTTTTCCATTCACACATCAGCTCATGCACCCTTTCAAACCATTGAAGGCAAGAGAGGGGGTACGTAGATACCTTTAATATAAGTATTCAACGCCGCCATCACCGCCATCGAGCACCCCAGCTCCAACGACTCCTCCCGTCTCCATCTCCATGGATTTGCCGGAGGTTGCGTCATCGTGCATCGTGACGCCGATGTCGAAGGGCTCTTGCGAGATGCCTGCTATGAGGTGTTGGGGGAGAGAATCACTAGATTACATTCGCAATGAAAAGGCGGCTTCGGAGTGGCTGGCTCCTCCGCATCATATCTGCTTACCACCATGGTGGACAAGTGTAAGCCTGCGCGCGTCCCCAGCTTTTTCTCCTGAGATTTCGCGAAGAGAAGAAGGTTGGGCCAGTCTTTGACTACCCGTAGCCGTAGCGTGGGTTGTATGTTTTAGCATTCCATGTCGCTGGTGTCAACACCTACAATCTTCGTTTCCCCCCCCCCACGGACCCCACGAAAGTGCTGCTGACTATACTCGAAAGTCTTTCAACAAAAACGACCCAACACGACGAGCGCCAAACAGCCTCTCATGCCATCCGCCATCTCGCCATACACCCCCGTCGCCAAGATACCCGTCCGCATCATACATCAAGACGACGCCAATCCTATCGACCGCGCCAGCCATCCATCCCATCCGCTGTCTCGCCAGGTCATTGCGATCGAGTTCCACAATTCGCGCATCGGTGCCGAAATGAAAATTTTCTGATCGACTCGACCACGGGCGCGATCTTGGATTCCGTGCGGGCGGCGAGGCGAGGAGAAGATGGGAGGGCGGGGCGGGTCTGCGCGCCGAGACCGCCTTTGCCGGCGCCGGGGACGGCGACGGTGACGGTGAGTGCGTTTTCTTCGGTCGGCGAGGGGCCCAAGTGATGAAGTGAGGAGAGTGACTGACTGGTCTTGCCGACGACGTCTGTGGCAAGGGCTTCAGCGACCTCTTTGCCTGCTGTTGTTCTGGAGAAGGAGGATGGATCTGGGGCAGGCATTGTGGTGGGTCGATGGGTTGTTGGGTACTTGGGTGGCGGTGGGTTGGGTTTGGGTGGGTTGGGAGGATGGGTTGGTGATCATGAGGAGATAGGGCGGGGCAAGTTGAATAGAGAGATGGTACCCCTCCCTTCACTCTTGCCTTCCAGGTTTTGACCGAGTGTACGGAGTATTAATTCCCTAGATCAATTAGGTCAAACTTCCGCTTCCTGTTCTGCAGGTCGCTCTCAATATTGCAAAAACAATGCGGGGGAGATGATGCGAGGATGTAGGCAATTCGATATTGTTGCCGACGGTCCAATAGAAAACCAGAGCTTCTGTTCAACAGGCTCTCGAGAGACACCGTTTGATATGCTTGTCCGGGCGGTTTCGTCTTCGCTCCTCGCTGAAGGATATATGAGTCCTCGTCGCCTTCTAGGAGTCCAAAGATATTACTAGCAGGATCACAGGAAGCTATAGTGGAGCACAGGTCAGTAATCACTGTGGGCCCCGTGGCTCGTGGTGTCGAGTCCACTACGGGAGGCGGTGTGTTGGTCCAGCTGACTCTCGGACGAGAAGGTAGTGTTGAAAGGTTTGGATCCCGCATTGAAGATTTAGAAGGCGGTTTTGGAACCGGTGATTGTGGCATAAAGTTCTGAAATACCTCTAAGGACATGTTTGATTCTGAGATGTCGTGGTTGATATGCTGGGCATTCACCTCTTTCCATCTCCATGGGCAACGATCAGCGACCAGGTTCGGAGCGTATAGGAAGCAGATACTAAACTCGATACGCTTCACATTTGTCTCATGGTGTAAGAGTAGACAAGCGCGATGCAAATGCTTGCATTGACAGCACCAAGCCTGACCCAAGAGGTCGTGAAGACTTGCAGCATGCCGCCAGATTTTCCACAGTATTTTCTTGACGGCTGAGTTCCTAATTTGTTGGCGGGACTGCTTGAGTGCTGCTGACTGGTCACTCGTATCGAGCAGTTCTCTCAACCGTGCGTTGTATCGGGCGAATTCTTCGAAGAGCTCCGCGCGGTTTGTCCTACCAAATCCAAACTTCACTCGATGGGTCTGATATTCTAAGTTAGGACGAGTCAGCCATTTCTTCCAATGTCTGTCTGAACTCCCTGTTGATGCTTCTTGCTTTGGCCTGTTAAGCAGCTTCCTCAATGGGTTCGAAACCACGCTCCAGCATCAGCCCGAGTGTCCCACCCAGTCGCATCATGATGCATGACCAACCTCCGTACACAAGCTTTGACCATGCGCAATAAATTTAATGGTCCTGTCCAAAAGCCTGGCTGCGTATTTCCAGGGGCTCATCTCTCTTCAGTTCGTATAGGCTGGTTGACATTCCCGTGCCATGTAAGAATTCCGAGCACTCGATGATTTCTTGCCACGGGATCTTGGCTGATCCACATATGACACATATTGATTCTCTCCGCTCGGACACAAGGACATGCCCACTTCTCTATTAAATCCAAGATACTGGATCCGGTACCAATGGCATGGCCCCGGTCCTAATGGTTCCATCACGTGATTGGGCATCGCAACCTCCTGGACCACCAAAAGCCTTTCAAACCATCTTCTCTCATACAATCCCATAGTATTCTCCACTGGTCTTCTTTCAAAAACGGCAAACCGATAACCTCCATTCGATCTTTGTCCTGGTAGCCAAAGTAACCAATACCTTTTTAATGAGCAAGATCTCCTTCGTCATCTCAGACCCTGGCGGCTTGTGAGATGCTCATCACTACGCGATCCCAAATGTCTCTCCCAAGCTCCAAGTTATCCGCCACTATTCTTTCAAAGGCACTTTCCGAAGAGCAGCGCCGCAAAAGCAACTCCTAGCCGAGCTATACCAATAGCTATGGGACAAGCCAAAAGCAGGGTCGGCATACGAAGCAGCGGCGCAATGGTGCAAAGACGACAACGCCTCCGCGCTCGCCAATCAGTTCCATCTGAAAGCGGGCGACCTCGCTGTGTTGGACAATGGCTACCTGGGCGCTTTCAGGCAGGCAGTATCGGACAACCTCATGCGGGTCTTTGTCAATGACTAGCTCCTGCGCGCTGGATTCTGCCACCTTGCGCTCGACATCATTGGTGCTAAGCGGGTCTCGGAGAGCAATCGAGAACTAGATCCTCAGTTCGCTTTCGACCAGGGAGTCTCAGCTCTTTTCCGATCTCTCAGAGCCAGTGGAACAAGGGGACAGCGAGGGATTAGCTGAGAAGCCATTCCGATGCAATCAGCTAAACCCGCTGGACTCGGTTCGCACTACCATTTTGCTTAGGTAGGGTTTCTCGCCTCATTCTCTAGGGTATCGCTAATTGTGGGCTCTACAGAAAATAGAACCAGCTGACAGAGAAAGAGGATGACTCCTCATAGCTTATCCTCCTCACCCACATTGTCACCAGCCCTCCTCTCCTCTCTCGCTCTCGACCATGATTTTCCGCCGCTACTATCTTTGGCGGCCTCTTGCCCCTGCGATTGGTTTGTCCTAGACAGGCACATGGACGCAATGTAGGAAAGCCACAACGCGCTAGGAATATCTTGCATGGAAAGTCGACATGGGGCAATGCCCGCTGGCGACCTACAACAGCCGCATGAACCCTGAAGATGAATGTCGAGCACCAGACCTCTTTTTGCTCATGCACAATTCCATGCGTTTGGTAGAACGGGCATAAAGTCCACGCATTGGCCCTGGGTCTCCAAACCATTTCCGCAAGCCGCTCGGTTCAACAGACCATCGAACGTTGACGGATTTCGGAGTCGGACGTGCACCTCGAATGTGAATGAGATCCAAAAAAAGGGTTGAGACACTGTCAACATTGCATGGCCTTCCACCCATTTGTAGGATCTTTTGGATCTTCAAGGCCTACAAGCAATATTTTATCAGCGGTACCAAGCCCTTGCATCGGCTAGACGCCGGTTCTGTAATCGCGAAAAGGGCCCGGTGGATGTCCCAAATGGAGGAATGAAGCACTTGATGTCCATATTTCCCATAGAGTGCATCTCTATAATCCGCTCAAAGGAAACCCTTTGATCCTTTTCACAGTCTATTGGCAAAGTCGATTCCCCATCATCGACGTTGTGTGCGGCATCGAAAAAACCCTCGTCGACGACCTTCCCGCTCTTCTGAGACGGAAGCAGGCGAATATTGATGCCTCAAGCCACTTTCAATTGATTGGCAGATGCTTCAGATGGGTATTGGATTTGCAAAGTATTTAGTCTAGGCTAGGAGCACAATGCGTGCTCAAATCGCTATCATGATCCTCAATGAGGTGCTTTTCGTCTTCATGGCCGCCTAGCATATGCTCGAAGCCGCTCGCCAGAAGCCGTAATATCATGCTATTTTTTTCGAATTCCGACACCACCACATCCATCAGACCGTGTGCTTCGCCTTCGCCCTCGTGCTACCGCTATGCGCACTCTCCGTGTGCCCCGAAAACTCCACGACCTCCGCATCCTTCAACTTCAAGACCTCTTTGAACTTCTTCCCCAGACCAAGCAGGACATCCTTGCTCTTCTCCGGGCTCCGACCTTTACCCCCGGCAACGTCTCCCTCTCCACCTCCTGGCACGCTCTTTCCGACCGTCTTGGTCCATAGCCCAACACGGTAGAAGCCCTTGCGTACGTTGACCACCACACCCATGACCTCGCCGTCATCGTCGCTGTTCTCGAGGGTTTCGCCGATGGCTGCGAGCATCACATGGAGCCAGAGTTCGTCGATGGGGGCGCTACGTTTGTCTGGGGGAGGCTTGGTCAGCACATCTGTCGGGAAGGGGGGGGTCTGGTATCTGTATACCCACCCTTGAATTGGTAGCTCCATTTCCCTGTAACAGCAAGCATCAGCCTAGGATGTACAATAGGTTGAGCGAAAACCTGCCTCCATGCTTATTTTGAGGGTCCTCCCACTCTGGGCGGATGCCTTTTTTGAAAAGATGGTAGTCTGACTTCAGCGCGAGCTCGGAAGTGGGAGTAATGTTATTCTGCGTAGAGGAGGATTGAGGTCAGCGAGTGCTGTATCGGAAGGTGGTAGCGGGGACCGAGCTGTAGACTCACATAGACGCCCCAGAACTCTTCCACAGAATCGAAGGTGACAACTTCCTTAAGTAGATCGTTCCAGTTGTCGCCCTTTGCATCGTCAGCACTGGAAGCACAGTCAAGCTCTCACAGGTGGCCTGTATTACCTTCCCACTCGGTGGCTTAGTGAACCAAAGAGTCCACTCATGCATCAGGGGATGTTTGACGTTGAAGTTCTCTGGATCATGAAAGACGGTGACTTGCTCGTCTCCCGACTTCGCAGCGCCACTGCTTGTGGTGGCTCCGTCTTCCGAAGTCATGTTCGGGTCGGCGTTCTCGTTTGCAGGTGAGATTGGGATGGTGTCGAGGGGGACGGGCGAGCTAGACTTGAGTGTGGCAGACGCAGTGACGGGTTTGGACATGGCAGGGGGTAGAGTGCGGGAGGCGGAAGAAGTGAGTAGAAGTCAGTGTTGAGAGACGTGAGGTCTAGACGGCGCTGAGGCCTCGGTGAATCTAGCTCTTTTGACTGAGTACGCCAACGGTGTCGAAGGTAGTTCAAGATGGTGAAGAGAGTATGGGTGTGACCAGGAATAGAAGAGAACAAGAGACTGCACCGGGCAGTGAGGCCAAACGAAATATCTAAAGGTACAGAGGTTTCGTCTAGTAGGCTCAGTATCCGAGATATGCCCGAGGGGCCATTAAAACGGCCCGCAATTAGCGCTGCATCTTGTGTTTAGTGTGTTTTAGAGTATTCCACTGCCGGAAATAAGACCAGGTGAACTTGAAGTCCCTGCTGTCCCTATCAAATCATTCTGAGCGGTTTCAAGGTAAGGTTCTGCGGCGAAAAGATAGAACCCAAGCTCTGCTTCTATGTCATTAGTTACTATACCTATCCTGAACATCACCAAAACTACTTTCTTTGCAACGCAGTGATTTTTGACTAACAAAGTTTACGATCAAATTTGGTGCTACAAAATGTCAGGTCTGCTCAAGAAAAGAAATTGTGACATGGAAAGTTTTGCTGTTGAAAGACAAGCTTTGGTGCTCGATGAGACTGCCAATCCCTCAGTAGCAAGGCCAGAGCGGACAGGTTCTTTTTTATTCCAGCTCCTGTGGACCTCAATCGGCTGGAAATTGCGGATGTTTAGCCAATGATTGGTGGTCTTTTACATAAGATCGGTCGCGCTGGCGGGATCTCTCAGCTATTTGATGCACTACATAAGCCTGTTCCTGGTCGTTTATTGCTCTGTGTTCTGCCGAGAGACCTTATCTCGCCGTTTCATGTCGTCCAACGCTCCTCTGCTTGCGGCGCCGTTGTCTGTTTTAGCAGCGACTAGCACAGCTACTACTGCTCATCTCAAAGAGTCGAGACGACCCTGCCTTTGGCGTATTCTAGCCGTTCAAGCCTGGGCGCAAACAAGCCACGTAATGCCGCGATGACACAAGAAGAAGACAAAAATCGGCCGAAGAAGTTGGAGCGTGTTCAAGGCCTTTCACCAAGACCTCATAGTTCTTTGCACATGAGAGCCGAACACAATACCAAGCTGAGAGGTCCAGCCGAAGCGTTCAGAGATTCCAAGCCAGATTTTCCCGATCTGCAAGAATTAATGTCATAGGCCCAAACCCTTTGATCTTTACGTGACGTTGAGCTTCCCGAGTCTCAAGGCTCAAAGCAAAAGGAATTGCAACCTAAACGGATCTGCCCAATTGCCTCTTTCTCAACCGATGACGACGAGGCGACGATAGATCAGTGGTTCAGATACCCATGTCGCAAGCTCTTCAAGTGCAGAAAAGCAGCAAGCAACTTCTCGGAAGCCGTATCTCAATCTTGTGGTTGTCCTCATGCTGTGCGATTTCTGCCTTCTTTCATGTGTAAGAACGGTTCCCCGACGCTGACAATGTCTGGGTTTGTTTACAGATCTCAAGGCCGGAAGCCGATTCTTTGGCTTTACGAGCCAGCTTTAGACTAGATCACGTATAGCTCCGGGAGAAGGCGACTTTGCATAACAATGACAGTATCCCATCCTGGCGACGGATGTATAGCTCGCTGGCAACAAACAGGCGCTAGGCGCAAACTCTCACAGAGGCGATGCGACCAAAGGGGAAGGTATGCCAAAACCTTGCAACAGCCGTTTTCATTTCCTAAATCCTTTGATTGGGCACATCGTCTCGATAGCAGGTGGCAAAATGTGTTTACTTCATTGTGCATCTTCAGCTGTGTGCTCCCGTCCTCACAACATCACTTCGTCTTCCGACATCCTCCCCAGCGCTGTTCAGCAGCGAGACTTTCAATGTGACGCACGAATTTCTCCTGAACTCCTCAAAGGAGCTGGAAAGGTGCAACTGATGCTCGATCGTATATGGAATAAGAGAAAACTTACGTGCCGCAGTATAAAACCACCGAAACCCTTGCTACTACAGACCAGCCGGCTCCTCCCAAATCCTCAAGTTTTACGACTACGGCGCCCAGATCATCGCCGATTACGATGTTTACAGTTCACTGCAGAGCGCCGCGAGGGATGTAAAGACACATGCTTCGGAGGAGGTCATGGGGTGGCGGGAACGGCAGTAGGGTTCTGTTGATGTGAGACTGCTACTGCATCCGGGTCGTAGCATGACTTGGGGAATGTGGAAGGAGGCAGTCAGGGCCATTGCGGAGTTTGTGACGCATTATCACTTCTTGGATATGGATTCTGATGTTGTGCAAGCTGGGTTGGTGGTGGGGACGGGAGTTTTGAACGGTTGTTTGAGTAGCAGAAGAGGATCGGACACCGCATATTGGAAAAGGGTTCGGATAGCCATGAATACACACAGACCGCTGCTGGATCATTGGAGTGCAGGTGAGTACCCAAGGGGAGTCGCATTGGAAAAGGTACAGATCCTAAACAATGCGGCGGCATGAGCATTAACGATGAATATTATGTCGCTGTTCTAGATTCAAAGTTGCGCAACCCTGGATAAAAATCGCAATCGCGGCGCAAAGAGAAATAGAATCGACGTCCCAGACTGCGGACTTTTTTGACAGCTTGCCCGAAAAGGCTGCAATTCAAGGCAGCAGTCATTGTCAATTCAGGGCCAATGTTTGCACAAGGAAGCCTGAATCCCCATTCCTCTCAATTTTCGCAGCCTTGTGATATTCCATGTTGTACGGAGGTCGGCACCAAAAGTCCTGGACATGCCAAGACAAGGGTCCAGGTAGGGCTGAGTGCTTGGCATACTTCCAAATTTCATGGATAGCATCATTATTCTTTATTTTAATGAGTACCAGTGCTCTATATAATAGCGACGTAGTGTATATATACGGAGTATATATATACGAAGTATATATATGCGAAATATATATATAATAGCGATATTAATAGAATATATAATAGTAATAATATTAAAGTACTAATTATAATATAGAGAAATAGAGAAAGAGTATAAAGACTTTTAATATATAAGTCTCATTTATATAGTATAATAAATAGAAATCTTCTTATTACTCTCTATCTTAATTATCTTTTATTAATATATCTAATACTTAAAGTATTAATTATAATAATAAGTTATAAGACTCGAATTTAAATACTTACTAAGTCTTCTTAATTATAAATAAAACGTTATATTACTTAAAAAGATATATTAAAAACTTATAAGAAAGTTAAAAGATAATAACTATATTATTAAAATTATAAATTTACTTAAAAGAGAATTTAGAAGTAAATAGAGCGAATATTAAGATATATAATATATTATAAAGATAATATATCTTAAAGATAATAACGAGTATAGAAAAGATTATAGAAGAGGTAATATACGATTATATAACTTCGTCGAGCGAGCTAATAAGTATATATATAATTATATAAAGCATTATTATTAAATAACTGTAACTATACAGAAAGTGCCAAGAATGCCAAGAGTGCCAAGTATTTTAGCGCTGTCCAGGACTTTTGGTGCCGACCTCCGTAGGAGTGGAGAGATGCTGGATCTGCTAAGAATAGTAGACAAAGGCGCAGCAGGTAGACGTGGAGCGAGCAAGTCCTCTGCTAGGCACCCAAGGAGGGCTTGAACCGAGTATATGGTAGTTTCAAGGAAGCAATACATGCCGAACAGCCTCAACACAGGCTGGCCTTTGTGCGCAGTCGTAAATCGTTGGTATAAATGTAAGGTATAGCAGAAATGTGGACGACCTCTGGTAAATTGAGCGAAATCGCATGGGCTAATTACCGAATCATACCCCGAAACTATGAATCCTTACCGAATCATACCCCAATTACTGAATCATACCCCTACACCAAAATTTGGGGTATGATTCGGTAAGGATTAATTGCTTGGGGTATGATTTGGTAATTTACCAAACTTGCTGTGTAGACTATTGGGAGTGAAGACTGTGTATGAGAGTCACAGACTGGGTGTAGATAGGCTGGGGGGCCAAATTTAGCCCACTGTTAGCAGCCCCCACGGGGGCCCTATTTAGGTCCAAATAGGGGTGTCTGGCTGTCAAGCGCAGAAAAAGCCTGGTCCCGGGGGTGTCTGCGCTTGACAGCTACAAATAGGGCCCCCCTGGGGGCTGCTGCTAACACCCACTCGGCTTTCGTCTGATGTATTTAAGCTGGTAGGTTACCCATTGAATACGGTCGGAGATATTTCCTCTTTTCTATGGTCGGATGGCCCAGATCGCGGATTTTCTCCTTTGCGATTTTTATCATGAATGGCAAATTACCGAATCATACCCCAAGTAATGACAAATTACTGAATCATACCCCTAGGGGTATGATTCAGTAATTAGGGGTATGATTCGGTAAGGATTCATAGTTTCGGGGTATGAATTAGTAATTAGCCCGAAATCGCATCCTGAAAAAGCTAATCCATTTTAGGTAAGGACAAGTTGGATCCAAAACTCGGTCTCACTCTTACGCATGTTCTGCCATCTCAGTCATACATTTTTCAACGAACAACATCAGGCATCAATTCAGAACACAATTTACAACCATCTTCTGCTCTTCTCCAAACCTCGATCGAATATTCATCGGACCCCCAGGCCACACTCTCGATACGTGGTCCGAAGCTCGTGAATTAGGGGCTTCTGTTCTCAACACTCCGAGCGAGCTGTGCAATGGCTGTAAGCATCTTCTACTCCTCCATCAATTACGCAACGGTCAATCCTGCTCCGAACATACACTGTCGCTGAGGGAGTAGATTCGCTGCAATGACTTTCAACCTGCAGGTGCTGACCGGTGATCCTCAACAGCAATACGGTGGTTACAGCAGTGGAGGCGGAGGCGGAGGCGGCTACGGCCAAGCCAATCCCTACGAGCAGACAGGAAACCGATACGAGCAGCAAGAAGGTCGCTACGACCAAGAGTCCAGTAACCCATACGCCCAACAAGCAAGCAACCCCTACGCTTCACAACCCGCTGCGCCACAACAAGCCTATGGAGGGCGACAGCAACAGGGAGGCTACGATGGTCGATACGGTCAAGCTCAGACAACGAATGGCGGCAGCTCTACCTACCCAGCCGGTGCGGGTGCGACCGGCGGCGGCTACGGTAAGGTCAATGCTGAGGACAGTGTTGGGACGAGAATTAATGGTCACTAGTTGGAGGAAATGATGTCGAGATGACACCCATGAATGGACAAGCCGGTGCATATGGAGCGCAACCCAGCCGAGATCCCAATGCGATCTTGAACGAATGCCGAGACATCGACCGGGGCATTGACTCGATCCAACGGAATCTCGAACGCCTTCGCTTCCTCCAGCAGCGAGCCATCGATGACCCAGACGCGAGTCAAGGTACTCAGACCAATCGCGAGCTCGACTCGCTAAGCTCCGACACGATGACACTGTACCGCAGCTTCGCAGCTCGTATCAAGACGATCAAGTCACAAAAGGAGTCTGGAGACCCAAGGAACAAGCCGCAAGTTGGGTTGGTGGACCGCAAGTTGAAGAGTGCCATCAATGAGTACCAAATGGTGGAAAAAGACTTCCGGCACAAATTATCCGCCCAAATGGAACGGCAGTACCGTATCGTCAGACCAGATGCCAGCGATCAGGAGGTTCAAGAGGCTATCCAGGATACCTCGAATAACCAGGTGTTCAGTCAAGCTGTATGCTATTCTGTTGTATCAAACCCAACACTCCGCTAATCCCCTTCTCAGCTACTCTCTCAAAACCGACGCGGTCAATCACAATCAGCACTGCGCGCCGTTCAAGGCAGACACGAGGCCATTCAAAAGATTGAGCGGCAGATGATGGAGCTCGCCCAGCTCTTCCAGGACATGGAAGCCGCAGTCATTACGCAAGAGCCTGCTATACAGAACACAGAAGAGAAGACGGAGAACACGGTGGTCAATCTGGACCAAGGAAATAAACACCTCGATGGAGCTGTCGTCAAGGCAAGATCTGCGAGGAGAAAGAAGTGGATCTGCTTCTGGATTGTTGGTGAGTCTATCTTCGCTGTACCTCCAATTGCTCTCAGGGTTAATTCTAACGCTTCCCAGTGCTCATTGTCATTATCATCGGGGTCGCTGTTGGTGTTGGGGTTGGAGTGACGGTTGGCGGAACCAAAAAGAACACTTGATTGCCATGTCTTTCGGTTGCACGCATTTTCCCAAAAAAATCACATGGCACACCCAACTTCTCCTTTTCGTCAGCTGTCATTGGCCTGCGAGCCTCATCGGATTCTTGCGCTGGACCATTGCAGCACCAGAAAGGCGTTTCAGACTGCCGGAAGGACGTCTTGGATGGCTGCTTCGTTACTCTTTGATCTTGCGCCTTCACTTCTAGAAAGCCGCGGGCGCTGCTATTATTAATAGCCTACTTTAGATATGTAGGATAGGCGAATGTGGTAATAGAACGTATCAACACATTATACCATGCCTTTGCGATTGAACGCTGGTTTTGTTTCTCTCGATAAACGATGATAATGCATCGAATCTCAGGGTCTTCAACGATTGGACCCTTGAATCTTGTTTCTGAGAAGCGGCCCTTTTTTTTTTTTTTTTTTTTTTTTTTTTTTTTTTTTTTTTACGCCGATTGGCGCGCTGTCAGATCGCTTAGCGTCCTACTAGCCGAGCCTATTCGGTCGAATCCTGAGTTCCATCCTGACCCTGTTTCCGACTCTCAACCTCAGCACATCTTCCTGTACATACATAGTATTCCCCCCCATTGACAGCTTCTCCCACACTGTACGAGGAACCCATACACAACCAACCTTCAACAATGTTACGATGGTACCACCCCCCTTTCCCTTCGTCCCCCCAACCTTACGACAAAGACCCCATCACTAAATGTCTCCGAATCGCAGGTACCAAACCAAGCTCGCGCGCCGGCCCCTACTCACACAGAGCATCACCACAGCCGTCAGTTGCCCCGATCCTGTCCAATTCGTATCATGCGTCGCCATAGCTTCTGCAATTACTGACCGGAAGACGTACGGCGAGCAGGTACTCTTCGCAACGGGCGATGTGATGGCGCAGCAAGCGGTTGAGCGCGTCGGGCCCTCCAAGCACAACCTCGCCCGCACAGGACGAATGGCCCTATACGGCGGCGGTACATCCCCCCCCTTCCCCCTTTTTCCCCCATCCACCCCCCAGCAAACTGACAACCGGCCCGAAACCAAACAGCCGTCTTCGGCCCCGCCGCCACGACCTGGTTCTCCTTCCTCGCGCGCCGGATCAACTTCCCCACGGCGCCGAACCTGACCATCGGCGCGCGCGTGCTGACGGACCAGACGGTGTTCGCGTCGACGAACCTGTTCTGCTTCCTGTCGTCGATGGCCGTGATGGAGGGGACGGACCCGGGCGAGAAGCTGCGGGGGACGTACTGGGAGGCGTTGAAGAAGAACTGGATGGTGTGGCCGGCGGTGCAGGCGGTGAACTTCCGGTTCGTGCCGCTGGAGCACCGCGTCTTGGTGGTGAATGTGGTTAGTTTGGGTGAGTGGGGGGTTTCAATCTGTCAATCAATCGGTCAATCGATCGTTGATTCCCCTCGGTGGAAGGGAAGGGAAGGGAATAGGGAAGGGAAGAAGAGCGCTAACGCGTGCGTGTCTCTACAGGCTGGAACTGCTACCTCAGCTACGTGAACAGCCAGGGCGGGAAGGAGAAGATAGGAGACGTGCTCGACAAGGAGGAATGAACGAATGAATGAACGAATAAATGACTGCGGCGGTGGTGTAAGCTACGATACCCCTTTTTTGTAATTCTGATCCCTAGAAGCTCGTGTGCTGTATCTTTCTTCTTGCTCACGATGGCGTCGAAACCATCGCATAGATGCCAGGATTTCCAGCCCCAGTCTTCTTACATGTGATCATTCAGGCTCAAACAGAAAAGAAACAGAACAGAACAGAAAAGAAAAGAAACCTAAGAGCAGTCCTTGCAGACACGTTCATTTTGGGCAAAGAGCATGTATGTCTATGCGAACTTGAAACGTCGAGAGGCACGAGAGGGATGAGCATGCCGGTTGTCATGTTCCCGAGTTCAAGATCCGTCAGGTTTGGCACGAACTTCCAAGATGGAGCCAATGGCTACCTATGGTGGTTAAGGGCTACGAAGCTGGTGGTTTGAGCCGCAGGGCATGGTAGAACCGGGGTTTGCCATTGCTTCAAGAACCCCCTAGGAAAGAGTAGCTCAGACCCAGGGGTGAGGAGCTACTGTCATGCATGATGTTATTGAAGCCAGCTTCTGAAGCTATTTATCCACCATCTATTCTATCGCATTATCATCAGTCATATCGATCCCTGATTCTCACATCGTCATCCCTCATTCCTGCACGTTAGCCGTTGTTGCTTCCTGACCCTCGACTCCCCACCGTGTCTTCTCGTCACCAGCAGCCCATTTTCTCTCCACATAGCCTAGAGTCTCCTTGACCTTGTTTACGGTATCTGAATCGCCGGTGTTCTTTCCAACATTATCGCTGATTTTGATCGCAGGACGGCCGGAGGCAGAGGAGATCTTGATGACGATGTTGAGAGGTGCGGACTTTGTACCGGTGGAAAGATGATTAAAGTCATCTGCGACGGGTCAGCTGGGTCAATGTTTATCCGGACTCTAGATACTTACTTGTCAAGAAAGTCCCGATGCCAAAAGTAGGAATGAAGCCAGCCTCTTCTGCGGCCTGCATGTACTCAAGACACAGCTCGATGTTCAGGGAATCCGAGAACACTATGGTCTTCTTGTCCGTGATACCTTCACTATCATAGAAATCCCGCATCATCTTGACGAACTCCAGAGGATTCCCAGAGTCTTGGCGGACCCCTGTGAAAGTCTGAGCGTACGAGCGTGGTGGGTCCACGTTCGTCACATGAAGATGTGGAGGCTGGTCCCCAGAAGGCTTGGTGTCGACCACGGTTTGAGTAGCAGAAATAGCCGGAAGCGGCGCTGACGGCAATTGAGTGTCAACAGTATCGACTTCCGCTTCGGCTACTGTTGGTAAAGACTTTTTGAAAGCTTTGAGAAAGGTAGGCGTGCCGAAGGTGTCCGTCAGTGCTATGCCCAAAACACCTTCGCCGAAGCAGCCGACCCAGTATCTCAAGGCAGTCTCATTGGCGTGTTCGTAATCATCGGTTATGGATGCTATGCCCATGAACCACTCGTGGGCGACAGTGCCAACTGGAGGGACACCGTATCTCATAGCGAAATGAACATTGCTCGTCCCACTCAACTTGCCCTTCCATCCTCGCTCTGACGCAGTATTGGCCGCCCTCGTCAATCCTTGCATTACCAGGTCGTGAGTGTGGTAATCTCTTCTTCGTCGTGTGCCAAATTCCGAAAACATGCAGCCATTTTCCATCAGCTTGATGCCCTTGGTGTACGCTCTTTGTTCTTGCCCCGTATGACTCCAGTCTTTGTCGCAGAAGCGGAAGTATGCCTCGCTTGTGAGAGCAAGCAGCGGAATTTCATAGAGTATTGTGTGCAACCATAAGCCCCCAATGTCAAAATGTATGTCTCCCAGGTCATGTGCGCTGCCAGTATCTTTGAGAGGTTTGAACAAGACTTTGACTTGTTCAGAAGGCTGTAAGCGGAAGGTGGTGAGGAAGCGTAGGTAGGAGTCGTTGAAGTAGGTGCAAGTACCCTTCAGGTACTGAAGCTCCTCTGGAGAGAGTGCGATGTTTCCTAGTTCTATCATCCAACATCAGCATAGAACATGCAGCCAATTGACCGTATTGACGTACTCTTGACCTGTTCCTCGATCCAATGATAGGCCTCCCTGTTCAGTCGCATGTCCGAAGTCCTATTCGTGAAGGCGTATGTGACCCCTGCTCCATATCAGCGGAAGCTTCGACTACCAAAATGCTAGGCACTCACGAACGTCAGGAAGGTACTTGAGAATGGCGCATTGCATTGTCAGCTTGTAGAGATCGGTATCTAGTAGAGAGAAGATCCCCTCGGGGAGCTCAGTGAGCCCCGCATGGTTGGAGCCCATAGTCTCTGCTCTTGAGCTCAAGTAGCAACGGAAGCTCCGAGCAAAGGACTGTAGAGTATTTGCAGCGAAGTAACATTCAAAGAGGAGGATGAGGATTTCTGGTACGGAGTATGGAGGGCAATTGAAGAAAACACCAAAATAAGAAACGAGAGAGAAAGTCTTGAATGACGACGCCCGGCCAAGCGCCAGCACCGGAACATCTATTTTGATCAAATCCAATTTTTGAAATTTACACAACCACGGACGCGTTTATTTCCTTAAACATCACGGCAAGTTACATTAGAGTCTCTAAGCTTTTATTCGAGATCTCTTTAAGCTCACCACGATATTTAAAGCTTTATCGCCGTTAGAAAATCGGGTTTTAAGCGAAAACTACCTAAAATACCTTAAAGATTATATTATTCACTTATTTAATAAAGCGCGTTATTTAATTTAGAATAGTATTAAAGCGAAAGTCGCTGGAATATCTAAGTAATTAGAGAAGTTCTAGATCTTCTACGAGGCGTTTTATTAGAGATTTCTAGAAATATTCTTATAGAAGAATTTAAACGCGAGTAGACGTAAAGCTTAATAATAATAATAATAATATATAGATTAGCTATTTAGACTTAGATCTAAAGCTAAAAAATATAGAGAGGAGAATAATAGATTTTTTATTATAACTCTCAAACTACGTCGCCGCCTTCGTTATAGATACGTTATTAGAATATAAAATAATTATAAGACTTACAAATAAGGCTATTAAGGCTAGATATCGCGGAAATAATTTAGACTAAAAGATTATAAACGATATTAATGTCGTAATTTATAATGACTCTAAGATTATAAAGCTCTTTAAAACTCTTAAATTATAATCTTAAAGAAGATAATTTATAAACTTCTATCTATTTAGCGCGTTAGCTTTTAAGCGACGATTTCTAGCTCGAAACCTTTTACGTCAAAGATATATTTCTTCTTATAAAGAGATTATTATAACTATCGCCTTTTGATATTATAGTCTTAATTATATCTAATATCTTTATAATAATAATATATATGATTAAAGTAGAAATAATAAATCTATTAGGTGATAAGGCTTTAGAATATTATAAAGAGTAAGCTTGATTAACTTAATTTTATACTATTAGATATTATCGAAGCGTATAAAATTAAGTATATTAACTAGCTATTAAAATATAATTATTAAAAGTTATTAAAAATATATAGATTAGCTATTATTATATTTTGCTCTCTTAAAGTCGTTAATTTTATAATAAAGAGAGATCTTATTTAAAGAAGTTAAATATACGCCTATAAGCGCTTTATATATGATATTAATTTTAGATAATATTATAAATACTAGGGCTATAAATATAAAAAGTACTTTTATTATATCGATATAAGATATAAAAGATATAGCGCTCGCGGTTATATTAAAGCGAATTATTAAGCTAAGCGTCTTTATTACTATTATTATAAGTAAGCTAAATATGATCTAAAAAAGAATATATACTCGAGAAGAAAGAAGAAAATAAGAAAATACGTCGGAAAAATAGATAAATAAGTACTAGGTCTTTTCGAAATCTGAAGAATATATTGCCGTATAAACGACCCCGCCCTACGATATTTAATAAGTCTTCTTCTTAAATATTAATAGTCTAAGTAGCCCCCTTATAGTAAAAGAGAAGGAAATCCCTTAGCGTAGAAGCGCTTATACGGATTTTTAACCGCAGATCTTAATAAAAGTCTTATTTAGAGATATACTTAAGGAGAGTAATACTGTAGTTAAGTCTTAAAGAGGATTATAACTTAGACGTTAGAGTTTAATAAGAGAAAGATAAGCTCTATAGATATTAGCCTTTATATTATAACGATAATAAGCTTAAAAGAAATAACTAGATATTCGAATATCTCGATATACCCCTTTAAAAGATAGAAGAAAAGTAAAAATTCTAAAGATTCTATATTCGACGCGTTTTTAAATACGCTAGCGATTAACGTAAATAACGCGAAGCTAAGCGAGAGAAACTTTAATAATATTAGTAATATCTTATCTACGTAGTAATTATAAGCGAAAAGAATTATAATATATCTCTTTAGAGAAATAAGTTTAAATATTATTAATAAAGAAAGTTTAAGAGTATATAGAGATTATATAAATCTTTAAGTTGATTTTGATTAACTCTTTCTCTTACTTAACTCGCCTCTTAAATATCGCTATCGCCTTCGATATTAATTATCTTGAGAAACTCTAACCTTAAACTTACTTCTCTTTTATACTAGATATTACTATTATAACTTAAGCCTCGCTATTCTTAATTTGTTTTTATTAAACTTATCGAAATTCTTATTACTAAGAACTTATTCGCTTATTATTAAGTTAATCTTCGAAATATCTATTTATTATAAAGGCGAGCGTAATAGAAAGACGAATAATAGTAGAGTTAGTAGCGTCTTTATATGACGTTAAGAGATAATTTAATCTTTAAGCCTTGATAATATCTAGGCTAATTCCCCCTCTATCGAAGAGTAGAAGATTAAGAATTATCTTTTATAACTATTAGAGATTAAAAGATTTAATTATAGCGAACTTTCTTTGTAATTTAAAAGTATATAACTATAATCTAATAGCGATCTAGAAACTCTAGATTAATATATAAGTAATAATTACTTATTACTCGATTAAGGCTTTCTTATAATCTATATTACTCGAATAATAAGTACTATAATAAGAAAAGAAGTTAAGTATATATTTTTATATATAAATATATCTCTCTAGTAAGTATCTTCTAGCTTATAATATTCTTATTTATTAATATTCTTAAGTGTAGAGATTTAGCTTTAAATATAAATGTTAAAGAATATTAATATCCGCCTAATTAATATATATAATCTCTTCGAAGAATTAAAACGAATTAATCTCGAAGAAGATATTATTTTAAAGGCTATTAAAGATATTTAAAAGGGCTATAAATAATAATAGTCGCTTTTATCGCTTAAGATAGAGTTAAATAATAGAAACTATCGCTATAGGCGACTTTAATATTTATTACTCTATCTAGAAAAAAAGTTACATTAACGCGAGCCCTAGAGCGATCAAATTACTCGAAATTATAAACGAATTTCGATTTATATAATAACTATCTCGAGGTATTAAAACGTTTAAGTTTCTTAACTTAACGTCTTATATGTTAAATCTCTACCTTATAATAGAAGATCTAAATAACCGCGTTATTTAATATCGAATATAAAACGACCTAAATATCGCGTTTAATTACTATTTAATAGAAATTAAAGTAAATATCGTAGTTAAGATAACGAAGTCTTCGATAAATTATAACTACTTTAAAATAAATAGGGCGCTATATAATAAGAAACTTATATTTTAAATTTTCTAAATTCTAAGGAAATTCTTATTTGAGAGGCTTAACTTCTTCTTTGTAAAGGTTCTAAAGACTATTTATAACTCTTTTATTCTTATTACTCTCGAAAATAAAAAGAGAGACTTTCGAAAATCTAATTTTAATAAAGAGTATAAAGAGATAAGCCGGCTAATATAGAATATTCGTCGACTTTATTAGAAGCTTAAAGTCTTCTTTAATACTCGTTATCTCTATATAACTAGAATAGAAAAGCGCGTTAATAATTAAAACGACGCGAAAGAGATAAATAATTTATATAAGCCTTATAAAGAATTATCGAATTAAGCTCGTGGAAGTAGCGGGCGATATAGATAAAGTATAAAAGCTTACAAAGTGGATATAGAATTAAGCGATACTCTTTTCGCTATTTATTTTAAATCTAAAACGCCTTAATAAGAATAATAATAATACTTAAGAAGAATAAGATAGCTATTCTCATGAAGAGGTTCTTTTTTAAGCTCTTTAGCGATTAATCTAGATAACTTAAAAGAATATATCTATTTAAAGCTACTCTTAATCTTAAAAATTATTTAAAAGAAAGTCTTAATAATAATTCGAAAATCGCTCTCTTTAGAACGTCTTAAAGAAGATAAATTATTTAATATTATACTTTAATAAAGTCTAACGACTCTATAAGAGTTTCTTATATAACTTTTTAATAAATACTTAAAGTAAGAGTATTATCTTATTAGCTTTAAGAGTTTTATTATAATAATTCTTCGTAAACTCGAAAAGAGAGATTACTCTATTTCTAAGTACTATTGCTCTATCGCGCTATTTAATACTCTTAAAAAAGCTCTTAAATTAATTATAGTAATTCGACTACTCTATCTTATAACGAAGTATATCTTTATTCTTAAAAACTACTTTGAAGAAAAAAAGAAAATATAATAAAGTATACGCTTTATATATTAATCGAGAAAATCTACTTTATATAGTAATAGAAGCGAGTATATAGTCTACTCTATCTAAATATTATTAAAACCTTTAATAATATTAATTACTCTTAATTACTTTATAATCTTTATAAGTATAAAATTAATAATATAATTGTAAACTAAGTTAAGAGTTTTATCTCGAATTGCTCTATAAAAATAAGAGCTTTAGACTTCTTATTTAAATTCTTTTTATAGTAAATCGAGATCCCTTAAGAGCTCGACGATCTTCTCTCTATTATATTACTTCTATAATAGCGATCTTATAAAAGAGATTATTACCCCCGAAATAAAAGCTTTAAAGATTAAGTATATCGACGATATAGATATTCTAGTTGCTAGCGATATAATTAAAAACTATATCGCTATACTAAGAATTATCTACTCTATCTATCTTTGTTAGATTCTAAAATATATCTTAAAATTTAATTTAAATAAATTTTAATTTATATACTTTATATAGATTTTATAAATAGATTTAATCTCGCTTAATCTAGATAATATAGTTTATAAAGCTATTGAGTCTTTAAAGTATCTTGATATCTTTCTAAATTAGCGCTTAATCTTTAATATTTATATTAATAAAATAAAGGAAAAATAAGCGCTAAGATCTTAATATTAAGCGCTTTAGATAACTTAATCTAGAGTATAGATATAAAGAATCTATATATAATCTATATCTTAATAATATTATTTCTCTTTATCTATTATATATTAATATAATTTTAGCTATTAGATAATTATAGTATTAAAAGAAGAGAGAATAAGACTCTAAGATTTATACGAGGGGTATAAAAGAAATACGCGAGAATTATCTCGAAAGTCTTTAAGACGGTCTCGAGAGGATATTTTAGATATTAAATTATTTCTAATATTAGTATAATAGATATTAAATAACGTAATAAATGACGCTATACTTCGAATCGTTATTAGTTTTATCTATAATTGTCTTTAGATAATAAGAATTGAATAATCGACTTTAGTATACGAATAGCTAATATAAAGCGATAATCTTAACGTTACTTATACTTAACTTAGCCCTCTAAAATAACTTAAATAACGCTATAAAGCTATTTATAGCGTTAAACTTAAGGCTCTAAAATCTCGCTTATTATATATTAACTCTTCGTAATAATAGCCTTTTTGTATTATTATCGCTATCGACGCGAAGATAACTATAAAAAATATAATCGAATAATCTATTATAATAACTCGAAATACGTTATTATCTATATAAATAATAGTAGAATTAAAGATAAAATAGACGTATTGATAGTTTAAATAATATTTATTTAGAAAGGTCTAAGCGTTTTAGTCTCGACGAGAATTATCTATATTAACCTCGAATTTTAATTTACTATCTATTTCGAGGAGCTCTATAGATTATATCTCGCTTTAGAAATTCTTAGAAGAACTCTTAAAATTTTAGAATATAAGGTTAATTATTATCTTTATAGATAATTAGATAGCGATTTATAACGTCTATAACCCTTAAAGCCGATCGAATTAATATATAATAATTAAAATTATTTATCTCCTCGATATCCTCGAACGCTAAGTTAAAATCTATTAGATCTTAGCTTATTAAGAAGTATTAAGAAATAAGAAGATTGATAGAGTAGTTAAGAAAGCAATAAGAATAGCGAGAATAAGGTTAAGACTTAATAACTACTATATTATTGAATCTAATCTCGCTTATTATATTATAAAGCGTACTATATCGTAAACGCGCTATAGATTAATAGATATAAAAATAAAATAACTTGATAGCGTCGCGTAAAGTAAGAGAGCCGATAAGACATCTAAAATCTATCTCGAATTCTTATATACTAAGAAAGTTCAAGTCTCTAAATAAAGCTAAAAGCGTAGTATTTATATAAATAAGAATAGCTTATATCGATCTAAATAGCTTTCTAGTTAAAATCGACGTTCTCGATATTAAATCGTAATATTCTTATAAATATAAATCGAAAATATAAGATTATATATTACTATATTGCGAGCTATATAGAGAGTTATAAGAAATCGTACTCTAAGTAAATAATAAGCGAAAGATTAATATTAATATTTTTCTAGAGAATTTAACGAGGGTAGTCGTTATTACTTATTTTATAATAAAGATAAATAGGCTTTAGTAGTTTTAACGCTATTAAATAAATAAGAAATTAATAAGTAATAAAGGCGAAGATAGAGGTAATATTAATAACGTCTTAAGGCGAATATAGTAAGTATCTTAATTAGTATTAATATCTATAGCGAGCCTTCGAGCCTATATTATAATACTTTAAAGAAATTACTCTTATATATATATTACTAGAGATAAGAGTTACTTCTAAATTACTTTTTTAATTATTATTAAAGAGAGATAATAAGATAGTTTCTAGATTTTAAGCGATTAATAAATATAATTCTTATAAGATAAGCTATTAGAGAGGGTTATACCCCTTTTTAATACTCTTAAAAATATCGCGTCTAGCGAAGACCTCCGTAGACGACTCTAAAATATATTTAAAATAGCGGCTATAAATTTAATAGCAACCTAATCAGCGGTAGTACCTAGAGAATTCTTCGAGTTAAGAGAAATCTCCTCGAGGGCGCCTCGATAGAGAATCCTCTTAAGTCTTTCAGCGAACTTAATAGGCGTTTAACACTTAGAAGTAGCTCTAGGACCGAGAAACGGGCCCCAGGTTAGCACCCGAGGCCGGAACTCTCCTAGTAAGGCATAGCCTTCGGCTGGGACCCCGATGCTAGTCTTCGGACCCCATCAATGAATAACTACTACTACTACTACTACCAAGCGCCAGCGGAACCCAAGGGAGTGTTATGCGCTAAGATAAGATAGTAGTACTGAACTAGTCCGTTCTTGAACATTTATCACCACCTCTCCACCTTCTCTCGATTTTGCTCTTGCGGTCTATTTGCGTGGAGGCGGTTTTCTTGGCAAGAACTTATATCCCTACTTCTACACCCATCCGACGGTACTGCATGAGCGATATATGAACAAGTATTTCTATGCAATGAGTGAGGGCCAAGTTGGAAGCTCGACGTTTCTTTCGAGCTGACCTTTGATTCAAGAGCATTATTGAGCATAATATTTCCATCTCCCTCTGTACTTAACAATCTTTCACACGGGATTTCGTCTCACAGCCTTGTCATCTTCAGCTGGCTGCAGTGGCGTGTTTTTTTGAGCGTTGGAAGTCTTCTCATGGCCGTAGTGAAAAGGAAAATCTCTTGTTTTTGTTAGACCTCGACTCGTGGTAGGCTGGCTGTCAAATCAGAATTCTGTTAAACTCCATTGCAAGCGTGTTTGGGATTGCGTGACCACGGGTTTTACCGTTCCAAGAGCGTGTTATCCAGGGATGCTTCACCAGACGCTCGGCCTTGACCATGGACCAACCTTTTTCCAAGCTTTCCAAAACCATGCTTCAATTCCATATCCATCTCTTTTTTGCGCTTGAAATGTCTGCACTGCAAATTCTGCATTGCCCTCAAATCAACTCTCTCGTAAGACGTGGCAATTGCCTACTCCGGTTACCAAGGCCGTTGATTGCAAGAAAATTTCGACTGCGCTGCTTGCCTCAAATATATATATTGTCCGTCCATTCCTCTCTCTCTGTCTCTCCTGTCTTTCTCTCATCACAATCTTCCCACATCTAGTCTCCAGCCTCAGACCTCTCGATCCTACACGAGATCATTATGAAGCTTTCAATCTTCCCTCCAGTTGTGGCCGTTCTCATTACAGGATGCTTCGCCCTTCCTGCTCTTCTACCAACATCAACCCATGTTTCAGTCTCACAGGATCCCTCGCCTCCAAGGCCTTTTCCAGCTGGCCGCATCGTGGAAGTAAATGATCCTTCACCACCGCGACCCTTTCCCAAGTACGCTTTGGAAGGGGGAAGCCCACTGGAGGAGAGGGACCCATCAGCTCTGTCACGCTTCCCAACGGACGGAGAGAATGAGGCTCACGACCCCTCTCCTCCCCGACCTTTCCCAGCTGGTCGCATCGTCGAAGTGAAGTACCCCTCACCACCACTGGAGGAAAGGGACCCTTCAGCACCACACAAGCTGGTGGAAATATACACGGCAGCCAGTGATCCATCACCTCCAAGACCCTTTCCCAAATACCCACTGGACGGAGGAAACCCACTGGAGGAGAGGGATCCACTCTCGCGCTTCCCAACTGGTGAAGAAAAGGAAGCCGCCGACCCCTCACCACCCAGACCATTCCCGGCTGGTCGTGTCATAGAAGTGAAGGAACCTTCACCAAGCGACACAATCGGACCCCGCTCCCCATCTCCTCTCCTCCGCACCGCTGAAGGCTCGGCAGCCGAAGCCAACGACCCCTCCCCACCCCGACCCTTCCCAGCCGGTCGCGTCGTAGAGGTGAAAGACCCTTCACCAAGCGACACAGTCGAACCTCGCTCCCCATCACCTCTTCTCCGCACCACCGGAGGCTCCGAAGCCGAAGCCAACGACCCCTCCCCACCACGACCCTTCCCCGCCGGCCACCCCGTGGACATCGACCCACGAGGCGAAGACCCCCAGCTCCCTCCCCACCGTGGCCACGGCGGTTACTTCCCACCGTCGAACCCACCCGTCTCCGACCCCACCGCCCCAGCCATGGAAGCCGACCGTGCCAACGCCGATCCCGACCCGGACTGCGCACGCGGCAAATGCCCCCTCAACAGGCCCGACTGCTGTCGCCCTCACCCCCAGCACGGACCCCCAAAAAGCCTCTCGCGCATCCCCCGTCCCGCCTCACCCACACCCACAGCCACACCCGCGACCAAGGCTACCCGATCCCCACACACCACCACCCCTGCACGGCGACCATCACCTCGTTCCGCCACTTCCGGCCCCTGGACGGACCCGGCGCCGCATCGACCGCCTACGGCGCCACCGTCACGCTGCCCCACGAGCTGGACTGCGGGGTGTGCCGCGCGCTGACGGTGACGACGGTGCACATCGGCAACGGGCCGGCCGTCCGGACGTCCGGGCCCGCGCCCACGGTGACGGTGTCGGCGACGACGACGGAGTACGTGCCGGTGTGCAGCCCGTTTGTCCTTTTGTGAGGGGTGTTGGTTTCGTTCATTCGTTCGTCGGGGTCAGGGTTTGGGAACTGGGTCGGGTGCGCTGGTTCATCGGGAGAGTTTTCTGGGTGGGGTTGTGCCTAGGCGGAGGCGTTCATGGTCAAGTGTCACGGTGCATGGCTCATGGGCCGGGTAGGCTCTAGGGCTTCTGGGCACGTGGATTCATTCAGAGAGGGGCTCGATTGACCGATGCTTGCATTCTTTTGAATGTTTGTGGTCATGTCGAGTGCGACTTTTATTTACATTCTTTCTTTTGTTTCTTTCTTTTTTTATTCGAATGGACAGACAGACTTGTATAGTAGTAGGTACGAACATTAATATGTCTGTCCTACCGAAGAGAAACGGACAATGGATGCCAACGAGACATTCCCCTTTTCTTTCTTCCAACGTTTCCACACCTTCATCACCCTCCCTCTCATCAATATCCATAAGCTCGCGGTAGTAGTGTCCGTCATACACATCCTCTCCGAGTCCATCACAGTATCTGTCATGTTTTCTGACAGCCATCCAACTCTTGCCTCATCAAACTAATTATAGCCCATCTGCCATCCGCAACGCTCTCACCACCTGCTCAAAGAACACCTTCGCGACAATCGGAGGCACGGCGTTCCCAATCTGTCTTCTCTCCCCTCGAAGGAACCGGTGTTCGAGTGGGAAACCCTGCAGGCACGCCAACTCTCGTACCGTGAAACACCGCGTCCCCGATGGATGATAGTTAACGCTGCCGCTGCATGTAATCGTATTCCTAAGCGGCAGGTTACCAGAGTAGCGAGGTTTCTTCAACTTGGTCATTAGATGAGGGCGATGGTTTGCGAAGTCGTGGGGGATGCGACCGATCGCGTCGTACACCGTTGTGAACTTGGAGCGATGGGGGAAGCGATCGCAGTCTTCTGCTCTGCAGTGTGTAGGCTCAGGGAAGTCTGGGAGCGTTTCGCCGGGGCTAAGAAATCACGCAGTCAGTAATTGGATTCTGGAATTGTGTGAATGCTGGAAATTACCAGGATGCGAAGAGGATTAGCCTCCTCCTAGGCTGTGGTAAGCCAAAGTCCAGAAGATTGAAGACTTTCCACCGGACGCTGAAGCCAAGCTTGCTGAACATTTGAATCATGGTGTTGAACCATTCAACGTTGACCAGAGTGCGAGTTAGGCCAAAGGTCTCTTCTAATGTCACGATTCGTGGCCGTGTCTTCTTGAGCAACTCCTCGGTGGCCAGGAACGTTGCCTCATTCCCTTCATCATTCGGTCCCGGCCGAGTGTGTGCAGGTGAGAACGTCTGGCATGGGGGGGATAGATGGAGGATATCGACCTTGTACTCTTCGTTGATGGCGGTGGCAAAGTCGTTTGCTGCGATGCCGTCACAGCGAGCATGAGGAAAGTTTGCATGGTAGGCAGCGATGGCATGAGGGTCGTGATCGAAGCCCCATTCAACGCGGAGCCCTGCACCATAGGCTCCTCGTGAAGCTCCGCCACCACCACAGAATCCATCTCCGAAAGTGTATCGTCGTCGTCGTTCTCGATTCTCGGGTATGTCAGTCGAACGATTTGGAGTGTGAAATCCCAAGGGATCGATGAAGAAACATCTCATCCGCTCCGTACCATCAAAAGCTTCTTCTGTGTCAAGCCATCTTGCGCAATCTCCTCCCTTGGTTGTAAGCCCTCGATAATCGTCTCTCAACTGACACTGCGAAATAGCGCATCCTTCATCTGACTCAACGTCGGTCATCCTTCTCAAGAATCCCTCATTCTTGTTGATCTTCACATAGTTCCACCGACAGACTAGTCGACAGTGGTCATTCATGTACTCTTTGCTCAAGCTGAGGCTCTCCGGATCAGTTTCACGAAAGCTTAGAGCGGGGAACTGCTGATTGGTTTTGATGAGTTCGCGAATTTTGACCACGGCAGCTAGGTTGATGGTTTCGATACTCTGTTCAGCAATGTCTCGGGAATCGTTTGGATCATAATTTGCCATCATGGTGACTTCGTTCTTCCTAAACTCAAGGACCCCCTCCAAAGACTTATTCCTTTGGAACCGAAAGCCTTTTAAGAGGACCTCACCTGTTCTGCAATCTTCTAACAGGGCTCTGATCCTGAGAAAAGCTCCATCCGCCATCTCAACGGTCTTGCCGGGCTTCAAGGTCTGTCCGTTGTAGCTAAGTGTCTGTAGTACTCTATGATTGTCCTGGAAGCTCTCGATCGTAATCGCACCGGACCTGCGATTTTGTTTGATCGAAGTAACGCGGCGGAAGTTGCCGTCTTGTCCCTGAATCGTTCTGCCGACCTCGAAAGTACGGCCGTTCTGCGTATACGTCTGTAACTCCCGGAATCTCGCAGCCTGAATTCTGGCTTGACGTCGATTTCGACGAGCCTCGGATACTGGCGGTACGACTCGTTCAACAATCTCGTCACCAAGGAGTGTGTCATCGCTGTCGTTGCCGCTGTCGTCCTCTAAATTGATAGGGTTGGGGTTTCGGCGGACAAAGCCTGCAGGCAAAGGGTCTGCTTCGTCTATGTCCACATCCATATCTGAAGCGAAATTGTCCGGCGGTGAGTTGGTGTCCTCTGTGTCCATACCCACGTCCAAGTCAACAGATAGTTTGATGATAGATTAAGGTACGTCGATATAAAGTAGTAATGGTGGTGAGGATAGATGTGTGTAAAGACAATTTAACAGAAAGATGCCGAAGGATGTCGAATAGTAGATGCTTCGATGAAGAAGTGAGGTTTAGAACGATGAGGGCGGAAGTCAGATCTGGGCGATTGTATGAGCATTCCTCACTTCACTTCATGTCATTTCAGATTCAACTAGTAGATCCAGATCGAGTCTGATCCATCCGGAAATCCACCTTCCATCGTTCAACTCTATCATTTGGATTGACGCGATGGTTGCCTCTGCTTTGACTGCTTGTCGTTATTGTACATCCAAGATTTTTTCCCTTCAATCGGCTGGAGAAAGCCATCGACATGGACTCCCCCCTACCATTACACCCTCAAACCTGTTGCTGGAGCCTTCTCCTGCTCGGCAAGTGTTACTCTGCCTACTCTCACCAGAGACAATGGGAGAAGCATCTGGTAGATACAAGTGCTCTTCGTGAACCTCCTTACCCTCCTGAAGAGTTCTGAACTTGATACCTTCCCCAAAAAGCGTGGCACATCGGGCAGTAGCACTGCCCACCAGGTTCTGGTGCCAACCAGTCATAGAAGCAACGCCCAGCACATCGCTCCAATCTCGAAGACCTAGACGCCCCTTACGGTCACGAAAATTCTGACTCCGCGATCTGCGCGAAGAAGACCTGGTGGGTAGAACTTTGCCTTTCGAGCCGGATTTCTTTCTGCTAGGACGGTAATGGTCGGAGTCGGAGTCGGAGCCAGGATGGTTTGGCGTGTCATGACTTGCTCCTGCGTCTTCATCAGGGTTTGATGCTTCCCGCTTCCTTTTCGGAGGCCTGCCTCTCGATGTTGACCGCTCGCTTGTTTGGCTCTGAGAGTCAATGTCAGAGTCCTCAACAAGTAGATAGGCACTCCTAGCATGATGCAGTCCCATGAGTAGATCATCCAGCTTGGTCATCATGTGCTGTACTGTAGCCTGTAGTATCTCGCTTGCTTGTTGGTCATCAGCCATGACGACGGGCTTCTGGTCGGGAATCTCATGGTCTTCTTTGGCACTGAATCTCCCGTTGGAATGCCTTCCCCGGCCTTGATACTGAAGTCCTTGAGATGTAGTAATCGTCGCCGATTGTGGCTCACCCTTCCACAGCCGATCATGAAACCGTCCTTTAGCTTTCCTTAAGACTTGAGCAACGAGCATTTCCTGTAGATGCTGACCTGGTCTCTTTGGTTTAGTGTGGTGCAGCTCGGAAGGAACAGCGTCTTCTTCCCAGCGCCTTTCGTCATGCTCTCTCGGAACAATACCAGGCGGTAAAGGCCAAGCAGTCCAAACCTTGGGTGGGATCCATTTTGACCCTTCACTGGCTTCCCTCAAGTCTTCTGAGGTTCGAACTCGCCGGCCTAGATCCCGAGTGCGACTCCTCTGTCCAAGCTTGAAAGAGTTGTACAGATGGATGCTAAGATCCTTTGCTTGCAGTTGATCAAGACTGGCTGCTAGGTCCCTCTCCGGAGCAGTCCAATTCCGCCAAGTCGAGGACGGTCCACGGAATTTGTTTGCGCGGGACGGCAGAGATGTGGAGTCCTGAGAACCATCGTCCAAGAAGTCCTGACGCTCGTCTTCTGCAACAGGTTGGTTGGCTTCAGAACCGTCTCCAGCGCTGGAACCTCTTTGGGATGATTGCTGTATGTCAGGCTTGTGATCAGATGGCGCATCAGACAGGTAGTCGCTTGCCAAGTCAATTTCTTCATTCTCCGCGTAGAGTTGGTCAGCCGGTTGCTGAGCTGATTGGAGTGGCGGAGAGGAAGGAAGTTGCGCATCCTCCTCTTCAGGAGACGACATTGTGTATCTGAGAGAAGCTTTGGCGGCTCTAATACGAGAACATAGCTCGCATCGCGTAGCCAGTTTGCGTAGAGTGATCACATTGATGCTGCGGGGAAGACTTGTCACTTTAGCGGACGCGTGCAACTACTGGATCGTTGACGACTATTGTAACGACATCTAGGACCTGATTTCTCCAGGGATTTACTACGTTTCAACAGGTGTTGTTCGTCTGCAATTATTATTGGAAACCGTGTCTGGTCCTTGGCGTACAGGAACTACTCGGTCAAAAGTCTACGAAATGAATGAATCTGCTGTCCCAGGAAAGTGCAATACCATGGGCCTCCACCCCCAACCTGTGTATGAGTATGTGGCAGGAGGCCCCTAACACCAAACCCTCCAAGCAACCTGGCAACCATACCGGTCCTATGGCTTTGCTGGCTGATATCACAAAATTGAAGCAAAGACTGCCCAGTCGGGGAGCTTAACCTCTTTTCGACGGAGCGCACATTGAGATCAATGTAAAGCGCAGTCAGAAAAGGTGGTAGCTTAGAGGGAATTAATTAGGTACAACACACTATGAGAATTTTCAGACGCTGCATTATTGTATCCTCTTCTTGCCCTCTTCGAGATGACCCAATCGGACGTTACTTGCACCACGCTCACGAGGCACAAAGCTCCCTATCACTTTGTCTTTCATAACGCTACCCATAGTCTCTTGATAGCCTTCTTGAGCCCAACGAGGGGTGTTGAGCTTTGGCCAATTGACCTGAAAAGATACGGGGTCAGTAGGCTCCGGCTTGGGGGGCTTCGGCTACTTACGTATAGCATGCCATGGGACCAAATGAAATGCCCACACCAGCCACCAATGACCATCCACAACAAAGCGAACACACGCAAAGGCCAAACAGTCGTTTCTGGTTGGGTTCTTGTCAGGGAAGTAACCATGACCAGGAAGAAGCTAGCAGCGAACAGATATGGTATGGCTTGAATCAAGATTGGTCTTCGATCCCTGAAGACAAGGTTGGTATCAGTGATGGACGTCGAAGGCAGATATGCGCCTAGAAACAGATCAAATGCATCCTGACGTGGCCCGTCTCCGAAGTTGTTTTTGACATAGCGAGTGATGGAGTTGTTCATATCTTGAGCCATCCCAGCCCTTGTCCTCTCGCCAGTGCGCGTGAAGTCTGTCTTAAGAGCTCCAGTCCCGGAGTATGATTTTGACACGACATCAGCATTGTCTGCCCAAATGTTTCGGAATAAGTCCTGGAACGACTTGTCGTCATCAGCAGACTCCCCTGGCTTCAGAGCACCAACGTCAGTCAGTTGCCGCGTCAAAGTCCAGCGACCGAGCATTGTTTGAACGACGTTCGTCCGGTCTAAGCAATCCATGCAGTTCGTTCGAACCACCGCTGTTTGCCGATTTCGTACCTCCAGACGGCCCTGTGCATCCGCCGGCATGTCCACACCGCGGAAATACTGGCCCTCAGTGAGACCCTGCTTTAACTGATCAAGCAGTAACTGGGCGCGATGCCACTTCAGTCCCTTGGTCTCGTTGTGAAAATCGAAGTAAACATAATGAAGTCGGTCGTACTTCTGATTCTTCTGGCTAGCCTCCACGACATGTATCTTCTCCTCCGTAACGTAGTCTGCCTGCGTTGCTTCATCTGGCGAGGAGACCAGAATTCGTACCATCTGCTCGTAGGCTTTCTTGACTCGATCTTCACGACCTTTTTGGTTGACGAGGTTGACAAGGTAGTTGTCACCATACAAGCTTATTTGCTCGTTAAAGTGGTGCCGTGCAGCCTCCACAGCTGTCTCTACCCCGCGTATTTGAAGATTCGGGACGTATTTCAACGAATTCACCTCTGCCCAGTAGACCGGTACGCTTCCCCTTGTTTGGACATAAGACATGACTTGTGTGTCATAACCTTCACTTCCTCCCACTTTGCCGTTCTGCATACCTTCACCACCAGCGAAGCCTCCTAGATCTCCTGTCTCGTCGTTCAGGATCACAATCTGCTCCGTCTCATTGAAGTTCGCAACATGCCCTTGATCATCAATGCCACGAGTAAGATAGCGAGTCCCGGCTCTGTACCTGGATCTTCTTGTGATTAGTGTAAACGTCAACGGAGTTGCCTTGACGCGGGTTTGTGTGATTCTCAGCATTCCGAACATGACAGGAAGGATGAAGGGGTCGGCTCCAGCCTGCTGGCCTCCACGGAGTCCGGAACCACTTCCTGCACCATTCGAGAAGTCTATGAGGTCTGACTGAATAAACTTGTTCCAGAAGAAGCGGTCGTCTGCTCTCTTCCATATTGGCTGTGAGGGATTTGATTGGGCTTGACGTTGAAAGCTGTTGGTGATGTCGAAGGAGTATGAGAAATACATGGGTCCTGTCTTCAGCAGAGTTTTAAGTAGGCTGAGGTAGGTGTCTTCATCTGGATCATGGAGTGCGCGCTCGCGCAGTGGAAGGAATTCGGTGGAGATGACTTTGTAGACCATGTGCCCTTTCAGGCGACCCATTGGCTGTGCTTTTGTGATTACTATTATGTACTTGTCTGCGGTTCTATCAGCACCGTCTTTGCCTTAAAAGCAAAGACCTATTCACCTAATCTCAGCTTGATCATGCCGAGTATGCCCGCAATACTCGACACCCTTTTCGCGCCCAACAGCGCACCATCATTGAGTCGTAAATCTCCAGAGGGGCGTTCAACTACCAGCGTCTGGGCCGAAGGGGAGGAAGGAGACGTGAAGGCGTAATGTGAGGAAGAGGCATGGACGTTAATGTCTCTGAAAGGAATTAGGCTACGCATTGTGGAAGTCGGTCGTCCGTGAAGCGGAAGTGTTTCGGAGTAAAGAGAAGAAGCTACTTCTCAAAAGCTGAGAAGGAGGCTTGATCGCTATTGTGTATCATCGTGGACGTATTCGGTGCGGTGGTTGCGAGGGTGAAGCTGCCGCGCAGAGTCGCAGAGTTGCAGGTCTTGGCAGAATCAGCCCTACAGACCTCGTCATTTGATGGTCACGCTAAGGCACCACCCGTTCTTGCCTTTCGAAGGCCTCCATTGTCTCCATTTTCGAGCTTCCTAAGACTTTAAGACGTCCCTTCAGCCGCATTTAGAGCTGTAATATTTGATACTATCTAAGACCTACCACAAAGTCCCGGCAACATGTCATCCCGGGTCTCCACTGGCGCACGGCCAGGAGCTCGGTTTGCCCAATTCAAGCTTGTTTTGCTTGGTCCGTACATCCAGCCGCTTGCTGCTCCATTCAAAGACTGACCATGATGTAGGAGAGTCTGCAGTAGGAAAGGTTGCTACTTCATTTTGAGCCACATCTAGCACACAGAAAGCTGACGCTTGTCCATTAGAGTTCTCTTGTCCTGAGATTTGTCAAGGTCAGTTAACCAACAGCTGGTTCTTCTGCCGCCACAACGAAATCGAGGTGCGGAATGATTGCTGATTCGTCTCAAGGATCAATTCGATGACTACAGAGAATCTACTATCGGAGCTGCCTTCCTCACACAGACCATCTCCCTCGACGACGCCACGACTGTCAAGTTCGAAATATGGGATACGGCAGGCCAAGAGAGATACAAGTCGCTTGCACCGATGTACTATAGGAACGCAAACTGTGCAGTCGTGGTTTACGATATCACACAAGCTGTATATGCCCTGCGCGAAGTCCGCCCAAGCCCTGCTAATAGGAAGGTAGTCGTCCCTGGATAAGGCAAAGTCATGGGTAAAAGAGCTCCAAAGGCAGGCAAATGAGAACATCATTATCGCTCTAGCAGGGAACAAATCAGACCTCGTTGCTGAACACCCAGACAAGCGTGCTATCACAACAGCAGACGCCGAAGCATACGCACGGGAGGCTGGGCTGCTGTTTTTTGAGACATCAGCAAAGACGGCGGAGAATGTGCGAGAGCTGTTCACGGCCATTGCACGAAAGTTGCCTCTTGAACAAGCTGGAAACCGCGGTATGAGGGCGAATCCACGACAAGGGGTTGATCTGAGACCCGAGGCGCCTGGGACACAAGGTGGTGGAGCTTGCAATTGTTAGACGACTGTTGTGACGCTGCAATACGATCGATAAGTCACAGTAGAATGATGCGGAGGTTCAATGGACTCGTCTTCAGGCGAGACGGTCTCGGATCGAGTGGAGGAGAAGTGCGAGCTTCGTTGAGATGATTGCTGAATCTTGAGCGAGTCCTTGGAGTCGGCGTTTCTGGCATGCTCTGCTCTCATGGCGTCTGTCGTAGGCGCATATTGATATCGTCGGTGCCGCATGGACCCTCTGTACCAACTAGAATCTTGACAGAACTTGTGCATCAAGGACAAACACAGTATGCAAATTTCACCGACACATTTACTGCCTCTCCGCATTGTCTCTTATCTATTCAGCGAATGTTGTTTTCTGAAATATGATAGGGTTTTTGTTTCAAGTGTGGCCACATTCTGAATCATTTGTATCTGGCTCGTGGATCTGTATTTGTGGATATGGAGCTATGGAGCGCCGTAGATTTAGCTCACCCGAAGGCCTTAAACCAAAAACGCTCCCCCATGCCAAACCCCCCCCACACCCCCCACACCAGCTCACGGGCCCCCCACAGGCCCACGTCGGAGAGGACCGGTCGTCACAACCCCCCACCCCCCGGCCCCAGCCGGGCACCCCATCGCCGGCAGCCCCAGGCCCAACCCACAAAGCCCGTTATTGCAACCCCAAACTTCCCACCCCTCACCACGCACTCGTTGACGCACCCCGGGGTACGCGCAGTTGCTGCGTTTCCCCGCGGCTCTCCTATCAGGCATAGAGGCCTTCGCTTAACAGGAGGGGGGTAAACCGGCATCAACGCGTGTACGGGCCCACGCGTTCTAAGGCAGTGGGCGGGGCGGAGTGTGAACTCAAAAAAGCAAAAGAGTGCTTTGCCTCCGAAAGCTGCAACGCCAACGACAACTTTTGCGTTCGGAAATCACACGACACAAATATTACCATCCATACTCAGCTCTGCCACTTATAAATTCTGGCGCCCATACCGTCCTACATTCTTTGTATATGCCTGAGCTTCTCTCATGATCTTTCAGCATGTTCATCGTTAACTGGTGTAAGCTGCCACCTAGCTTCTTTTTACTGCAACTGGATGGCCTGCTCCCCCTCTCTCTTCTGCCTACCTGCGATACAAGAGCTGACTCTTTGTTTGCTGCGGTAGTCTGGGACGTTCTCGCCTCTCTGGGGCTCCTCAATAAGCATGCCAAACTCCTCTTTCTCGGCCTAGATAACGCGGGTAAGACCACGTTGCTACATATGTTAAAGGTACGTCCTTCCGTATGGCTCTCATTCGCTGTCGAGCAGATCAGCACGAGCTCGACAGGAGTGGACAAGCTTGAATTCTCCCGCTGACAGTAAACGTAGAATGACCGAGTCGCCATCCTACAACCTACTCTACATCCCAGTATGCTCCATTACGCCTACTATTGGCTCCCTACCGCATACTGACCCCTTCAGCCTCCGAAGAGCTCGCAATAGGCAATTGCCGATTCACAACCTTCGATCTCGGTGGCCATCAACAAGGTGCGTTTTGCGTCGCTGATGCCACTTTGACTGATGGCACTGGGGTCACGAACTGAACACTTCTCTTTTTCTAGCCCGTCGTTTGTGGAAAGATTACTTCCCCGAAGTCTCCGGGATCGTGTTCCTCGTCGACGCAAAAGATCACGAACGCTTCGCGGAGTCGAAAGCCGAGCTCGATGCCCTCCTTGCAATGGAAGAGCTGAGCAAGGTCCCATTCTGTATCCTTGGGAATAAAATTGATCACCCAGATGCTATCAGCGAGGAGGACCTTAGGCATCAGCTGGGCATGTGGCAGACGACAGGAAAGGGTAAGGTGCCGTTGGAGGGTGTGAGGCCGATTGAGGTCTTCATGTGCAGTGTTGTTATGCGGCAAGGTGAGTGTACAAGACAAAGGACGAGCGGAGATAAAGCTGACTCTTTATTAGGGTATTACGAAGCTTTCCGTTGGCTGTCCAACTACGTCTAAGCTAAATGTCCTCTGCAACAACAGTCAAAGATAGACGAGGGGTGTTAAAGCCAAGCGATACCCAAAGACTGCAAGATAAATGGATTCATTTTTGATTCGTTGAAGTATTCATGCAAGAATCCTCCAGCGAAAACCCGTAGCGAATGTACAATTCAATTTCACCACTGTCTAATCACCACAGTATAGAACTTTAAGACACTTTTTTCCCCAGCTTCAAGAGCGTCGGCCCTCTTTAGCCCCCTCCAAAGGCATCAAGATCAACAACGAATGCCACCTATGGTACTGAGGTGCCGCAATAAAGACCGAGATCTTGAAATATTGGCGCTAGTACTCGTAGGATTGACCGACTTTCCGGTATTCATATCCGATGTAAAGCCGGAGCTGGGGCAACTTTTCGCGCGCACGGAATTTCTCGACATCAGCTTTCAATTTTCTACTCTCAGAATTTGACATAGCTTGTCATATCAGTGCTTACACCATGGGAAGAATAAAGAAGAAAGGTAAGATTGCTCACATTGGCTGAGTGACTGACTTTCGTTGACAAGGCTCGCAGGAACGGCTGGTCAAGCCAAGAATTTCATTACCAGGTGTGTGCATGCCTGATAGCTTCTCTCCGAGATGTAGTAGCTGACTTTCGCCAGGACTCAGGCAGTGCGTAAGCTTCAAGTATCGCTACCAGACTTCCGACGCCTATGCATCTACAAGGGTGTGCAATCGTCAAATATCCGTATCAAAGGCATTACCTGACAAATGTGCAGGCATATATCCTCGAGAACCTAGAAGCAAGAAGAAGGCTTCCAAATCTTCCACTCCCTCTACCACCTTCTACTATACGCGAGACATTCAGTACCTCCTACATGAGCCGCTCCTCGCCAAGTTCAGAGACCATAAAGCGCTGGCAAAGAAGATCTCACGGCATCTAGGTCGTGGCGAGGTTGGAGATGCTGCACGTTTGGAAAAGAAAGGAGCGACGAAGCTCTCGCTTGATCATATCATCAAGGACAGATACCCGACGGTAAGCTTTCCAATTGGAGCACGGAATCTTAGACTCCGGCTGGTGGAATGTCGCTAATCGTACCTGGTATTTCAGTTTGTCGACGCTCTCCGCGACCTCGACGATGCATTGTCCCTGCTGTTCCTCTTCGCCAACTTGCCATCCACGTCCACTGTCCCACCTAAAACCATAGCTCTTTGTCAAAGATTATGCCTCGAGTTCGAACACTACTTGATCACAACAAACTCGCTGCGGAAATCATTCCTTTCTATCAAAGGCATTTACTACCAAGCCACGATACAGGGCCAAGATATACTATGGCTGGTGCCATATAAATTCGTACAGCGAGTGACCGGGGATGTGGATTTCAGAATAATGGGTACGTTTGTGGAATTCTACACGACTCTGCTCGGCTTTGTCAACTTCCGATTGTACACAACTATTGGTCTTATCTATCCTCCAAGGTTCAATGCGAAGAGTTATGAGCAAGGAGGCGAGTTGGATGCAATTATTCTAGAGGGAAGGGGCATTGAAGAGCCCAAACAGATCGAGTCGTTTAAGGGACATGTCAATGGTGAAGTGGACGGAGGGACGGTGCCAAGAAAAGCGAATGAAGAAATCCAAAAGCAGATTGCTACCATCAAGGAGGGTCCAAACGCAGAGCTGGACGTTTTAGAAGGCCAAGACCAATACCAGGCTTTAGACCAGGAAATGAACGACGCTATTGATACCTTCGAGACCACTGGAGACGACGCAGATGTGCTCCCACAGCCCCAAGCCGGCGGCAATGAAGCTGGCTCACTCTTCGCACCATTCACATTCTTCCTGTCTCGAGAGACACCTCGGCAGCCACTCGAATTCATTCTTCGTGCTTTTGGTTGTAAGCGAATAGGTTGGGATGCCATTCTGGGCGATGGCGCCTTCACGACCAACGAAGCCGATCCAAGCATCACGCATCAAATAGTCGACCGTCCGCCCATGACAAGCCTTCCCGAAGAGCTGCAAGTCTCCGAGAGTCCTTCAGATCCACCGCCCACAACCGTTGTGAGGCCTGGGTACCGAGTACCCGGCCGAACATTAGTTCAGCCTCAGTGGGTATGGGACTGCATCAACCAAGTCAAGCTTCTGCGACCTGATCTGTACGCACCAGGCGCGACCCTACCTCCACACCTTAGTCCATGGGTCAAGCCGACAAAGGGCGCCTACGACCCGAGCGCGCCTTTAGCGGAGCAGGAACGCGAAGGCGAAGCAGAGGAAGCTGAAGGCTTCTCCGACGACGAAGACGAAGAAGCGCAGGAGGAGGAGGTGGAGAAATCCGACGACGCTGCCGCAGACGGCGTAGCACTCGCCCCCTCGGCATCAACACCAGCAACAGCCGATCTCCAGGACGACCACGGCATGACCATCGCCGGCAGCGAGTCCGAATCCGAGCCCGCCTCCGAAGCCGACTCCTTCGCAGGTTTCGACTCCGCCCCAGAATCCGACACCGACCCGACCCTCACGCAGCACCAACGCGAACTCGAAGCCGAAGCCGCTGGCCTCAACTTCTCCGAAACGCTGACCAAAGCCAACGGGCAGCCCGTAAAGGGGATCTTGAAAGGCAGTGGTAAAGGAGACGAGGCGCGGAAGAAGGCGGCGAAGAAACGGAGGGAGGAGGAAGAGGAGTTGGAGAGGAGGAAGATGATGATGGGGCGGAAGAAGCGGAAGGTGTTGGACAAGATGTTGTATTCGAACCGGCAGAAGGAGGGGGGAGGCGGAGGCGTTGAGGGCGAAGAGGAGGAAAATTGAGGCTAGGAGGGGGTAGGGCAGGGGAGTGATTGGCTCCACTGAGTGCTGTGAACAATGCATTTGACAGCGTGAGCTAAGCAGGATATCTTTGTTGAGAAAAAAGTAGAATCCTTTTGCATGTTGAGTGCAAAATTGCCTGATGATACATGACCTCTGTCTAAGCTCTTGCCCGTCTCCAAAACCTCTAGGAATCCCCCAACCAGATGCACGCTTCCCGTCACCAGCACCATCACCTCCCCCTCCGCATCCCCCTTTTCCACCCCTGCAACATCCTTACACCACCCCACCGCCTCTTCAATACTCAGCTTCACCTCGACTATGGTCTGAGGATCAATGCCCCTCCACGTCTCCGCTAAACCTCTCTGCACATCCAGCTTTTCAGCGGCTGCGGCGCTAGTATTCATACTCATAAGATCAGGCCTGTACCCCTCCTCCCTGAAGGTCATGTTGGTGCAGAAAACCGCATGTGTGAAAGGTTGCTCGTTTTGTAGAGCGGAGGCGAGGGTGCGGTGGAGAGCTTTGGCGAGCGCGTTGGCGTCGCGGGTTTGTTGGTTGAAGAGGAGGATGCGCGTCCGTTTCCGCGATCGGATGGGAGGGATTTGAGAAGCGAACCAGGAGCCTGCGACTTCGATGCTCTCGAGCGTGTGGCCGCCGTCTATGTGCCACGCGATGTTCTTCTCGCGGCGGGTTTCGCAGCGGCCGGACCAGCGCACCTCTTCGAGGCCGCGGATGAATTCTGGAGGAAGCATGTCGTCGTGGCGCTTGGGATCTTCTTGGCCGAGAGCCACGAGGTGGGCATCCGCGATGGCCACAGCGAGGCTGGCGTTGATCTTTTGGAAGTCGGCGGCCAGCCCAAGCTTGACATCCTCAAGTAAAGGGTTTCTGCCGACCACATGGAGCTTTGTAGGGACCTCATCCGCACGCTTTTGGAGGACCTCGATGGCAGCTGGAGGCTGAGGAGCTGTAAAACAAGGAGCGCTGGCCTTCATTATGCCCCCCTTATGCCACGCAATTTCTTCAACTGTGTTCCCCAGCATAGCCGTGTGATCGATTCCCAAACTCGTGATGCCAGTGACGGTAGGCTTGACGAGGACGTTTGTGCTATCGTATTCCCCGCCAATGCCGCATTCAGTGATTGCGGTATCGACGCCCTCGCTCATGTACGTATGATATGCCATGAGCGTCAAGAACCTAAAGTAGCCCGGCTTCGCGGTTGTATCTGGCGGCTCGCCTTTGGCCCTTGCTGCCTCCTCTAATCGGTCCCATGTCTCGAAGAAATATCTAGCAAAGGCTTCTTCCGACAGAGGCTGGTTGTTGATCTGGATGCGCTCACGAACATATCGGAGGTGTGGTGAGGTGTAGAGACCGATTTTACGGAGCAGTGGTCTTTCGGGCTTCCGGGTAGAGGGGAAGCGATATTGACCCAGCATAGAAGAGATGAACGCACTGGTCGAACCCTTGCCTTTGGTCCCGGCAATGTGTATAGCATTCAGCCGGTTGAAATCCGAAGGCTGTCTTCCGTCTCAGTTTGGCTGCGTCTGCGGGCGACCCTGTTTGTTGTAGCAGTGGAGGCTCGCACCTCATATCCGATCCTGCGGCACCACTCTACCATCTCAGGTATAGAGTTCTTGTTCATGCCCTTGCCAGAATTCCTGATGGCGTCGACAATAGCGAAATTAGTCTGCAACGTATTCAAGGCAGCGACGGCGTCCTGTGGTATTGGTAAGTCGTAGTATGGAAGGGAGAAGCGGTTGCTGGCATACTGCGTAAGTGCGGCTTGCCATGGTTGCGGATGCCGCAAAGAGGCGCCTTGTTTGGGGAAGAATTTTGTAGAGGATGAGCGACAAAGATGGCGGCAAGAGGCATGATACCGTATGGGCTGTCAAGTAATATACTGGGTATTGTATTATTGTATACCAGAGAGGGAAGGGGTCATTGGGCAAGCTAACCCGGTTTTGGACTTAGTTTCTACAGCACTCCAGGTAAGATACATGTACATTTCCGTCACTCTTTTACAGTACTTTACTTGATCACCATTCAATTGAGATATGGTCTTTGCCACTCGTATTTACTAGTCAGCCACATGGCTTTGATATCTCATCGATTCTGACCCTGCATTTTCCTTTAGAGGAAGAATGCTATCGGCGTACCATACTCGGCGGCTTCCTTAGATGTGATAATCAATTCCTGCTTTGTAAGGAATATTGGTGAGGGAACC